AATTATGTTATCAACAAAACAAAGCATTTAAGCCCGCTATGTATTTTTTTTTGAAAAATTTTAAAAAATGTTATTTAAAGTGTTATTTTTAAAAAATGCCATTTTTTAAATTTTTTTGCAAAAATGTTATTTTTTCAAAATTATTTTTTCGTTATATCATTTATGTCTTGGTTAAGTTACGAGGGTTTAGTGGTTTTTAGAGGTAAAAAAATGTAATGACTCGCATCTTGGCCTAGAACGGTCAGAACCCTGCGGGAAGGCCGTACCAAACACGAACCGTTTGACCGAAAATCCATCCTAAGTACTTCGGGGTGTGCTTAGTTGCTTGATGACTAAGCTACTGTGCTAGGTTGTCGTGATGACTAAGTAGTGTGTCTGCTTGGTGGTGAGTCACCGGCCTTACCTTCGGCCAAAGAAACCTCTAACTAGGAGGTATCTCCGTTAAGAGTCTTACCCTAAGAAGAAGAAAGAGCCAACAGGAGCTACCCTTGTGAGTTGCCTTACCCTCGGACGAAGAAACCTCCAAGTAGGTGGTGTCTTTGTTTCTTCTAAAAAAATTTCAAGCACTGCGTGTCGCGACTTGGGCAGTGCTGGGGTGGGACGGCTTGGACAACTGGCCGCGAGCTATCCAGCTTCGTCACCTGCTTATCCGAGCTTATATAAAAGCCGACCTGACCTAGTAAGCAGGTCACGCAAAATCTCTTGCCTTGTTCCAAACATACTCAGTCCACGCGATCGTTCCGATCAGCCCATTCTATAGCCATTCTGTAGCCATTCTCTAGTCCACTGCGAACCTTATCGAGCCGTTCCATGAAAACTTAAGATAAACGTTCCAAATCCGAGTCCTTTTTTTTTTTCAATTTGTTTTCACGATCTCATCATGGTTCTAACCGTAGTCTCTTGATCAAATATCTAGATCAATGTGAAAACGTGGGTTCAGTTCCGTTAGGTTTCAAAAGAAAGAGAAAGTTCGCGAGCTTTACTTTGTCCGATCGATTATTCTCGCGAGTGTTACCGTGTCCGATCGTAGACATCGCTAAGCAAACCTCTGTCTGATTGCGTGACCGTCGCGACTGTACTTGAGCGTCTCATGAACTTTAAGGTAAGCTCTCTATGATCAGATCGTTTTTTCTTTCCGACTTAGTCTTTCATTATGATCACGAATGTAACACTAGTTCTTGATCTTATGTCCGATTCATCCTTGGAACGTTGGATCAGTTTTGGTTTGATTTCCAAGAGTTCACCTAAATCCCTTAGCAAGTTCAGTCCGGAGCAAGTTTTGTTCCGATCTAGGTAAGGACCGTTGGCTTTTCCATATAATTTTCTTTACGAAAACTCTAAGTCTTGCCTTAGTAAATCACGTAAACCTTTGGAATAGATTTCCAGTTCAAGTCTAAGACAAAACCGATCGCAGAAATCTTTGGCAAAACCGCGATCACTCACTAAGTCAAAGGTGGGTCTTGGTGATGTTTGTCGTGTGCTATATGAGTAGAGCACACGTTGCTTGGTTATTGTTATGTTTTATAGTCGTTGAAGTTCTTTGCTGCGAAAATGTTTACACTTGTTAGAATTCCCTAAGTGCTTTACTCGTGTAAGACATAGGCATAGAAAACGTTTAAGCATTATAAGTTTACATATAACTTAAGTGTTGGTAAAACTTATAAACTTGTGAATGAACGCAGTATGATATTCCCTTCAGACCATGATTTAACCAATAAAATTTTTGGTTAAACACGAAGACTAAAGATGGGATTGCAGTCTAGGGGTCGTGTAATGCTTGACGATGCATATTCCGGTGTGGTTAGTTAAAGATTAGGCCACTAGAATGATAGAGGATCCTAAGACTTTAGCCTTTGTGGTTTTGGTCCGAAAGATGCCTTTGGTTTCACGTGACGGGAATAGTTAACGCGTAAGACCTTGTTAAAATATATCGATAATGCATAATCTATCATATTTATCGAATTGAA